GGCGCAAATATTTTGTTAACCTTTTTTGTAGAAAGAACCTACAAAACTCAATTTAAATAGCAACAAAAAAAATTGCAAAAACTTTATTCAAGTATTTTTTGAGCACTTTAATCAATTGGTTTTTTTTTTTGTTATTAAATGAGAAAACTATTCAAATTTTTTAATTATACTTGGAAAACTTGCGTTTAAATATCCACGAATCACTACATTTGCGTATTTTTCGCTTTCTTCGTATGCACTCCGTTCGGTTGGCCGTTGTCAACTGAGCGCCACCAGCGTTGATGGAGCATTTTTGTAGTCCCCCGCGTTGTCGTTTGGAGTGAAAATTTCCCAAAACAGTGCATATGAAATTTCCCAAAACAAATGTAGCACAGCTGATTTTTGTTTTGTCAACAAAACATTGTAAAGGGGGCGTGTAAGCAGACGCATGCGCATTAAAGAGTTTATTAATTTTTGGCGCCAATCTGATACTAAGAAAATATGTCGAAACAAAGACGCAGCTATTTTTTTCTAGTTGTTCGAATTTGTTCTATCTACCACCTTTGTGTTTGAATTTTCGTTTGATGCCCTCTTGAATTTCTCTATTGGCGGTACCTCGCCCTAACCTTTGTACATAAATATATCCTTGTATGAGTGGTAATTATTGCTTGTATGCTACGAAAATTCATGCACATACAAAAGTTCGCACATACATACATATGTTCATACCCTTGTGGGCAGCTGATTAAGTCAAGTGACATTTTGACTAGTTTTGGCTATTGTTCTTTTGTTTATTTAATGTTTATATTTTTTTTATAAAAGTTTAGCACTTTACCGAACCAGCGCCACATAAATCCACATTTCAAACTTAGTACAAAAATCATGAAAATTCAACAAGCCAACATTTGCACCCGAAAATTTTAACTTTTTATTTAGAATTTTTATGACGGTGTTATGCATTCACTTTCATATAAAATATGCTCGACAATATCGTTTGTATGGTAGGAAATGCCCAGCACCATCAGCAAAAAAACAATTATTAAAAGTCAATGTGATTTTCTAGCGTCTTGAAATTTGCACTTGCTATGAAACTGCATACCCAAAATTTTTCTAAACACTTTAAATAAAAACTTAAAAATTTTTTGGGTGAAAATGTTGAATTTTGTTGAATTTTCATAATTTTTGTACGAAGCTTGGAATGTGGATTTATGTGGCGCTGGTTAGGTAAACTTTTACTAAACTTTTATAAAAATATATAAACATTAAATAAACACGAAAATAGTCAAAATGTCACTTGGCTTAATCAGCTGACCACAACTGTATGTACATATGTACATAAGACCCTACCAGAAAAAAAAAGTTCGCCGTACACCTTCGAAACGAAAGTATTTTTTCTAGGGAACTTCACAAAAGTTTGCATTTTTCGTCATATCTTCGGCATTCAAGGCATTACAAGGGTTCGGCATTAAATAAGCAAAATATTAATAAAATAGTAATGCAAATTTTTTTAATGTTTCTAAATTTTATATAAAGTATGAAACATTGATTTTATACATGGTTTTGAATAAAGTATTAACAATATTAAAAAAAAAATAATAATAATAAATTTAGCTCTAAACAGGTAATGAATATTTAAATAAAAAAACCAACACGTGAACGTGAGTTAGATCTACCCCCAAACTCTGTTATTTGGTTACGAACAGTATATAGGACTTTCCAAACTTAACTTGCGCAAATCCGCCCCGTTCTAACGGCAGCTAGCGCGTAACGACAGAGTTGAAATAAATTTAGGAGACCACGCTTCGCCGTACCCGGAGCGATGCGCGAGCTATTTTAGCCGGCAGTTCATACTGCATCCTCCGGTGGATAAAGCCAAACGTCGAGTGACCAGAAGGCTGCACAAACTGCCTACATCTAGTGCGCCTCTCGTTTTCACCAGTGGTGAGGTAAGGGTAGCCATCGGGGAGGTGAAAGCTCCAAAGCCATTGGAACCGACGGAATTTGCATGTTGATGCTAAAAAATGTGGGTCCTGCGGGGGTGGACTATTTAACCAAAGTCCTCAACCTGTCAATGGTCACTCTCATCATTCCAGACATCTTGAAATAATGGGAGAGTGGTCCCACTGCTTAAATCAGGGAAACCGTCCAACAAAGGAGAGTCCTATTGCCCGATAACTCCCTTTCCCCCGGTAGCGAAGACACTTGAGGCCCTTCTACTCCCGTGCTATACAAACCACCTGATCCCAGCATGGGTTCCGTAAGGTTCACATCACAACAACAGCACTTTACACCATAAATACCCAGATAACCCGTGGCTTTAACCGAAACCGCCCCTGTGAGAGAACCATTCTAGTAGCGCTGGACCTGTCGAAGGCGTTCGACACTGTCAGCCATTCATAATGACCGGAATTTATATAACAGGTTGACCTTAATTTTTTACACTCCCACAGGGACTCAAACGGAGGTCGGCGAATTATCTGAGTGGTCGTCACTTCTCAGTAACCTTTAGAGACAAATCGAGTAAACCTAGGAAAATAAAACAGGGGATTCCACAGGGTGGTGTCTTTTGCCCACTAATGTTTAGCTTTTACTTTTCAAAGCTCCCTCAACCACCAGAGAGAGTCTCAATTGTCTCTTATGCGGACGATTGCTCGATCATGGCGCCTGAGAATGGAATTGATAACTTGTGCTCGAAAGTAAACGGCTATCTCGCCAAGCTTTCTGGCTTCTTCACTGCACGGAGCCTTACCCTCTCCCCTGCAAAATCCTCAGCAACATTCTTTACCTCCTGGACGAAAGCGATCAGACAACAACTGGGAATTCACGTCGATGACGAACCAATTCCGACGGTGAACACCCCGAAGATCGTCGAAGTAACCTTCGACAGTCTGCTCTCCTTTTCGGCGCATACAACCGCAATTGTCAACAAAGTACAAAGCCGCAACAATGTCCTCAAGTCGCTAGCCGTTGCTGGCAACGCACAAGGCAATGGCCGGCCACGGTTCTGAACTATGCAGCGCCTGTGTGGTCGCCGGGGACTAGTAGGATGCAGTGGATGAAGCTGGAGACCTGCCAAAACACGGCACTCAGGGCAGCGACAGGATGCTTTTTGATGTCGTCGTAACATCACCTGCACGATGAGGCTCCGTTAAGGAGCATAACACAATGCTCTGCAAGAAATTCTAGTTGAGATCACAGACGTGGTCACCCAAATAGACAACTGCTTGCAGAAGAGCCATCGACCAGGCACGTCAGGAGGCATCTCTACGAACTGACGGACGAAATCCAGAGGTTCATCAAACAAACACTGGACCCGACAGCTTATCGACAGGCCTTGAACGGCATTCACAGAGAGGAAGTCTCGAGTTATGTAAACTCCCGACCTCTGAATGCCGTTCTGGGCACACAACCACCAGACGTGGACCAGACAGAGCTTCGTCTGCCTTGGGAGACTCGGACCACAATAGCTCAACTGCGCTCTGGTTACTGCAGTATGTTGAACTCGTACCTGAGCAGAATAAATGAAGATGTGCTAAACGAATGCCCGGCAAGTGGAAAGACGCCCCATGACTCACAGCATCTCTTCGCTTGCCCACTAAACGCCACCCTACTGACGCCGCCTGGACAGACGCCTTCAAGGCTGCACGCTTGCTGGGGCTACCGCTAGTAGAGCTTGACGACGATTGAGGGACTAATCGATCTGGGCGGGGTTGTTTTAGCCGCTACAACGGCAGCTGGTTCTACGTACCGGAAAATCTCTTAAACGTTGTTCGTCCAAGGGGCAGCATCTGCTCCGAATCCCGTTGCTCAGGGCTGGCATTAAGTCAAACCCAGGACCAGAAATGTATACCTACCAGAGAACCAATGGCTCACCGGAACACTTCTGGGCAATACAACCACAACTCCAACACCCCCACCACACTACCTAATGGATGGTATATCTTCTTGCTCTATTCTGTTAAGTCTGGTTGTGTGCTGGCATAACCTGCAAAGTAGGCCGTCTCTTTTGAAGATCATTGGGTTCGTTATTGTGTACTCGTTAGGTAATTCCAGGGTAGCCTTTAATAAAGTTTTCAAGTGGTTTGATAGTTGGTACCCTGTTGTCGATTTATAGTTTATTATTGCCTCCTTACAAAATAATCCCATTGATAAAACCACCCTCTCAATTTGGCCGAGCGGCGTCGAAAATAGACGATTAGTTGATCTTAAGAAAAGAGCTTGCGAAAAAATCGCACCGTGACTTCGTGATATGTGCTTTAATTCTTAATAATTTTATTTAACAAATCAAATGTTAAAAAGCCTGAATATTTTATTTCATACCATACTAGCAACAATTTCAAAATAGTTGTACATGTTCGCTAATTCCCGGAGAGCAATATATGGCAGCTTGTTGATATAATTGAAGCATTGAAAAAAATTCAAATGATATCTTACAGTTTCGAACATAGTACATATTCAGGCAGGTTCTGCAATTCACTTCCGAGCGAATTTCAATTACATTCAATTTGAATTCAAAGTGACTTCGGTGGAAATTCACTCGAAATTGAAGTACAGAACTTGCCTGATTTTACAAGAGCGTGTACAATTTTTTTAGCAAAAAGAATATAAATGAAAAATATGCTTATAAATAAAAATGTACATGTCCATAGAATAATAGGAGTGCGATATTTTGACCAGTTTTGACAGCTTGTCTGTTTATTTAATTTAATTAATTAAGTTTATTTACTGTTTATAAAAGCCTAGTTGGTTATACAACAAACCCCATAAAAATTTACATTTCAAACTTTGTAAAAAACTTATAAGAGTTCTGCAAAGTTTCACCAAAATGTCAAACTATAAACATACCTTTTATGGAAAAAATGCGCAACACCTTCAACCAAAAACATTCTCGAAAATCAACGGGATTTTTCACTTCATTAGACTAAAATTTAATAGGTCACAAAATTGCATACCAAAATTTTTTCTAAAGATTCTGATAAAAAAATTTGGACATTTTGGTGAAACTTTGCATAATTTGCATAGGTACTTTTTTTTACAAAGTTTGAAATGTGAATTTAGATAGTGTTTGTTTTATAACCAGCAAGACTTTTATAAAAAAAAAAATATTAAACATTAAATAAACAAAAGACAAATAGTCCAAACTGGTAAAAATATCGCAATCCTGCTCTTTTATAATCAACTGCACTATATACATATGTATATATCTATGTATGTATGTAATTCTAATTCTTACTAGAAATATTAAAATATGAATTGTCTTAATTTGTATTGTTTTCATAATAGAGTGTAAATAAATGAAAAAAATTGCAAAAGCTGTGTATTAATCGTCCATAATAAACAAGCTATTGAACTTGGCGTTATCATCCACTACCAGCACAACACTAGTATCATCAATATTAAAGTCATCGTTTAAATTATTGCAAAAAGTTGACCCCAAGTCAATACTTGTCGCCATTCCAGGGACTCCATCGTCAATACCACCTTGAATTACTACTCCATCGATAATTGCATTGTTTTCAATATGCGACTCATTTGGCTCTTCTATCACCTCAAGACTATTGCTGTCGCTGCCCAGCAGCTCTGATGGTAAATAGGCAAATCGATTATCATTATCATATACCTCATCTTCTTCTTCGTTACCCGCATTTGCGTCTTGATGTAGGGTTTGGGGTCGATTATTACCTTGATCCGTGGCTATTTTGTTATGCACCTTAAATTCATGTTTTCTCAACTGCTCTGCTTTTTTGAATTGTTCACCACAAGTGACGCATTTGTAGGGGTTCTCTCCTGAATGAATGCGCATATGTACGAGCATATTATTCTTTTTGGTAAAAGCTAGGTTACAGATACTACACACATGTGGTGTAATACCTTCATGTATCATGCGATGTTCCTTGAGATGCCCCTGCTGCCGAAAGGAGAGCAGACAATGTTCACATTGGTATGGCCGAGCATCATCATGAATCCGTTCGTGCGTAATTAGCGCAGCCAAAGTGCGAAACGATTTACTGCAGGCATCACACTTGTGTGGCCGCTCTTGCGTATGTATGCGCATATGCATTTTATGGGTAAAATGGTGTTTGGACACCTTGCCACAATAGTGACAGTAGTGAGTCTTTTTTTCCGGTGGGATAGTATTTTCGCTTTCCTCCTTTGATGTTCCATCACTGTCATAAAGTTTGTGCTTGTGCATATGCTTGTTTAAATAGTGATTTGATTTGAATCTGAAATGAAATAATAGATAACATTATGCACCGATTTTGAATGGAATGCTCTATTTTTTATGTGTATATATTTACCTTTCTGGGCACTTATCACACTGAAAATCGCGTTCTTCTATATGTTTAGCCATGTGATTCTTGAGAATATCAGATCGTCCGAATTTCTCGCCACAAACGTCGCATACGCAGCCCTTTTTTTCGTGTACGGTGCGTATATGTCGCGTTAAATTGCTACGTAATTGATAGTTGCGGTCACAGTGCGGACACTGAAGGCGATCTTCATCATCATTTTTATGAGATTTGGCGTGCCTTCGAAGGCGAGATAGTTGTGGAAACCACTTGTTACATACCTCACAACGGAATCGTTTACCGCCATGTGTTTTATTATGCTCCCGGAATTCTCGATGTGTATCGAACACCTCATTGCAGGTGGGACAAGTATAGGATATGACCTGAAATAGAAAATACGAAAAGGACGAATGAAAGTTTCTTTATGTTAAAGGCCTATTTGCAAATTCATACCTTTCCTCTGTTTAAATTATATGTTGATCCACTCTCTAAGTTACAGTCTACTTCATTAACAGTCTCTTTCTCAAACTCCTTGAGATGGTTTTCTTGTGATTCGCCATCGTTTTCTTGTGTAGCGAGTGATTCTACACACTCATTGTAATCTAAATCATGACGCTCTTCTTTGGTAAACTGTATTTGACAATCGTCGATGCTAATTGGTTCTTCACAATCATCGTCTAAATCTTCATATACTATATCAGCATTGTCTTCTTGTCTCTCCGGATGATAACTAGTATGTTCGATGAGATCATTTCCATCTCCTGCTTCTTCCTCCGAGGAAAGTATTTCTTCTATTATGTCTTCAGCTTGATATTCATTTGTATACAACTCATTTCCATGAGGAGTTTTTTCATGTGGCGATGCCGGCAGCACCGAGTCTTCGTCAACCAGTTCAATTACATCATCATCGTTGCCTTCCTCATTATCTAACATGCCTACCAAAGGGGACTCCAATTCAAGATGCATACGCTTCTCGGCAATTACCTGTTGTTCATTATCAAGTGCATTTAAGAAGCCTTCTTGTTCAGCTTGCGGGCGTGGGCACATTGTCACACCTCGCTTGCGCAGCTCCAACCTCAGACGTTCTTGGACTGATATTTCTTTTGGATTCTCTTCATTCACCACCTCCAAAGGACCTTCATCATAAATCTCAGTGATGGAAGTACTTACTTGTTGCTCATTAGCTTCAAGTCGCAAGCGTTTACCAGCAATTGTTTTTCCTGGAAAGTCTTTTCCAATTTCCGAATTAATATCCGTACCAACTTCATTCGTTGAAGTGCAAATGTTTTTGGCTACATCGGATGCCAGTCTCGTCGGTACGGGCATAACAGAATATTGTGCTGGTATTACCTCAACATTTAAAACAATGGCTCGCTCATCGCCTGTGGTGGTACTAATCGCTTGTGTTTGCATTTCCTGCCGCAAACGCTTCTCAGTTTCTTCGCTTTGTTTTCGCAGCCTGTATGAGAAACGCAATCCAAACTCGCATTGTTCGCAAATATGTTTCGGTAAGACATCACCTTCTTTTACCTTAAATGAAATTATAATTTCGTTTAAATTGGAAAACAATAAAATTCATAACATTACTGTAATATTCGCACAAACGGCCAACAATTCCGTCAGTTGATGGTTGCCTAGAAAACATTTAAGGGATTCAATTCCTCCGCAAATGCGACATACTTCCATTTTTTACGTCTAAATTTAGATAGTGTTTTCAGCTTTGTGCCACGATTTTTTTTAGGAAATATTTTGTTAAGGCTATTTAAATTAATCAAAAATGCGGCACAAAATAGTTTATTTACTAAAGAAAACCAACAACATGGAAATAATGCACTGCTGTCACAAATGTCAAATTGTCAAATAATCGGAAATACAAGCCATTTGGCAGTTATCGATAACTTTATAAAGAGTGCTGTAGAACGACAAATAAATAGAAGCGTTCCGGTCGTTAAAGAGCAGATACACCCGATTTACATGAGTCAAGTATGTACACTGCCGGAACAAAGAATTGGCAGAACAAATTTTTCTGTCACAATTTTTATTCTAATATTTTTCCGACAATTTTTTATAAAAATATGGTTCATTCCACAGAACGTAGATAACAAGAAGGGCAACTCGTTATAATTGTAGTCAAAGTGCGCAACATGGGCGTGCCTTCCCTTTTGCCCAAGTGCGCCCCTGTTGCGCACTTTCGCACAATTATAACGAATTGTCCCTTCTTGTAATCTATGTTCTTTGGTTCATTCTACAACAAAAACAAATAGAATTCCTAAACTTTGTGCAAAACTCGCGAAAATTCAGCAAATTTTCATGTAATCAGCCTTTTTATGTAGCTTAATCAACTTAATTATTACAAAGTACAAGTTTTAAGTAGCTAGAAATTACCGTTGATTTTTGGCATTTTTTCCCTCAGTCTCTTCCATACAAAAAATTTGTTTCGTAAATACTTTATATGGAAAAAATGCAAAACACCTTCAAAAAAAAATCTAAAAAATCGATAGGGGTCTTCCCTTAAACTCGTAAAAACCTCGTAAATTTACGAGCCTCGTAAAAGAACTCAAAATTTGTATGGAGCTCTATTTACGAGCCCCTCGTAAATTTACTGGGCAAATTTCATCCGCAAACGATCTCGTTAACTTCAGTGTTGCCGAGTGCCCGAAGACTTTATACTAAAGTGTATGACAAAATATGAAAACAAATGAAAAAAAAGTAGGTCAATAAAATTAATAAATTTCATACCCTAACTGTATTTACATGGGATTTCTGCTAATTCTCGAATTTTTAATTATATTTTAGCTATCACTCAAGCTGTTATGAAAAATACTACGAAACAAAAATGTATCCACAGAACCCTTTTCACGCTGTCAAACAGTCACTTTACGCACCTATTTACGCAAATGCAAAAGGGGGCGTTCCCGTAACAGCCTCGTAAACTTACGAGTTTTACACAGTTTAAGGCAAAAAAATTTGAAAAAATTTGCAGTTTTTTATTACCGAAATTCTCGAAAACCGCTCTAATGATTTTGTTTTTTTTTCTTTAGTCAAAAATCCAAGTTTTTTCATTTCGTTTGGTATATGGGAAGTATTGGTTGATATCTTCCAAAGTTGATTATTTTATTCAAATATATGGGCATAAATGATTTTCCATACAAAATCACTTCGTCATCATTTTGCAAACACGTGCTTGCGCGGAAAGTGAGAGAGAGACAAATAGAATGTGCGTATGTATTTTGAGTAACAGATGTCGCAATATTTATAACCTAATCGCAGCGTATGTATGTAAATACACACATCCGTGCATATGTCGATTGCAGTTTTAATGTGGATTTGTTTTTGTTTTAGTAATGTGTACAAACTTTTTCGTCACATCAGATCTGTACCGTTCGTTCGTTCGTTCGTTGGCCTGTGGATGTGCAATAACTTCTTAAGCTGAAATTAGTCAAGAACGTAAACCTACCGGTACGTAAACCCGAGTCAGATGACACGATCTGTCTTACCAAAGCGCCATGTAAATGAAAACTCAACACCGCAGAATTTTTCTGTAATTGTAGCCCGTAGCGCAGAAATCTGCGGAATTTAGATTTTTCCGTGTCAGCTGATTTCTCCTTCTTTAGATGGTTGCCACTTCGTCAGTTTTACAGATGGTAAAAAAGATATAAGTTCCTATTCAAAATATGTTTAAAATATTTGAAATTTACTATTGAATAAGGTTTTTTGTTGAAAACTAAGTAGTTTATATTTAGCTAAAATCTATTATAGCACGAAAAATTGTAGTTGAAAAGGTAAGTTTATGAAAATGCATTGATGAGTGGCAACAGTGTAGTAAGCAACACTGAGGGCTCCAGTAATCGACAAAATTCTGCGTATACAGACTGCGTTTAAGTATACGTTCTGCGTTCTCGACTAATTTCAGCTTTAGTTTTTCCAAAAAGAGTTGCCACCTGATAAACAAATGAAATTCAAATTATTTTTAAGTTAAGTTTTGAAAAGGCTTTATTTCTTATTGGTATGTAGCAGGGTTGCCACCTGTTTCAAAAAGCAAGTTCGGCCTTTCGCTGTTGTTGTTGTTGTTGTTGTAACAGCATACAAACTCCCCAAAGACATTTTGGGGAGTGTTGCTGGAGTGACAGTCCTTGGCCAGATATAAATCTGGGTCGTTCCGGTTACGTAGACCCGACTGTCGTGGGAACGTCGGCCTTTCGCTCTTTTGTCCTTTTTCTTTTCGTCTTCTGCATCCAACTTCAAGACATAACGCCCTGTTAAAAATGAAAATTCCATTTGCTCGGCGACAGCGCCGCGCTATTGCGGGATGCTTCATACAAATTGTACGGGCATGAGGATTTTTGACAGTTCCTTGGCGCTTTACGCGTCAATTTAGGGACGGCAGTAATGCTTTGACAACTGGGTCTTTGAGCGGCTCGTGCAAAAGGCATACATAAACGCTATCAGCTGACTGTCTGTATTTGTTTTCACCACACATTTTTGGTGGACTTTTTGTGACTCTCTCCTACTGAGGGCCTGTGCCAATCGGTAACTTTTTTCTCCTTAGTGAGACGGGGTGGAAAGATTTGCTATGGTGTACAAATAAATTGAATTTTGCTGTGCCAATTGCAAAGTAAAGTTTTGACAGCTGAAAAACCAAACAAACGCCCGTGTGAAAGCTCTATTTTTGTGTGTTGCTGAAATTGTTAAAATTTATATTTATAGTAACTTGTTTTTTCGGCTTTCATTTTCATGTTCCCTCTTTATTACCGCCAAGCAATAATAATTGCGTCTTCTAACTCGCAAGAAGTTGCAAAAATTTACAGGATTTTACCAGAAAGCGTTCCCGTACCCGGTTCTCTGGCTTCTTTTGTTTTGTGACAGATTTACAGGTTTTAACCTAGAAAAGTTGGGGAACGCAACTAATATGTGTATACATGTTTATGAGCTGTCAAAATTTTACCTAGCCTCATGAGCTAGGTAAAATTCTGACGTTCGTTTTCACCACGAGAAATGTCAAATTTTTACTTTGATCCGACAAAATTTCCT